GTTGTCGAACGGTTTACGAGGTGGCCTGAAGTATACCCTCTTAGTAATATTAGTGCAGCAAATGTTGCTAAAATTGTATTCCAACAATATTTCTCCCGATTTGGTATTCCCCATACTATTACGACAGACCAGGGTGGGCATTCGAATCTAAATTAATAGAACAATTTACAAAATTTTTTGTTTGTCATAAGATTCATACATATGCTTATCACCCCTAGAGTAATGGTATGGTGGAAAGATTTCATCGCACTATGAAGGCTGCATTAATAGCTAGAGGAAACACCACCAACTGGAAAGAAGAATTATCTTTAATTCTATTAGGCATCCGCGCCGCAGTTAAGGAGGACATTGGGTGTTCCTCGGCTGAACTCGTATATGGCCAGCCTTTACGCCTCCCAGGTGAATTTTTGTCCAAAGTCAGAATGTCCTTGAGATTAACCCTTTATTAAGTAGCTTTCACGATATTTTTAATAATATTAAGCCAACAAATCCAAGACATCATTCAACTCAAACCACATTTATTTCCTCAGAGTTAGACACCTGTATGTTTTTATTAAAACAGAAGGTTTTCGAAGTTCATTATCGCCCATTTTTGAAGGACCGTTCAAAGTTATAAAACGTTTTGACAATAATTTTTTAATTAATAAATACAATACAGAATACGTGGTTAGCATTGACAGAATTAAACCAGCTTTTATTCTTTCAAAATATATCCCTGAAGTTTCAGGTAAACCCAAAAAGAAAGTCTCTTTCTCTTTGGTAATTAATTAAATAATATTGGTTTTGTTTAAGGGGGGAGTATTTGTAGTGTACTGCCTCTGTTTTTATTATGTTACCATGTGATTTTTAGTTTTAGACAGATATAAATAAATATAACTTGTCAACAAAATATATTTGTCAGAAAAAGTAAAACCTTTTAATTTCATTCTGCATGGCTCCCGCAAATTATGGATATACATACCAGGTTAACTACATGACTCCCACAGGTAGTACCATACAAAAAGTCTCCACAGTTCTTGTTATTCACCACACAAGATCCAAGACACAAGATCCAGCTCACTGATTCTACCAAAAAAAAAAAGGAAAACAGAAAACATTAAAAAATGTTTTCTAAAAAGTTGACTGGAAAATAACCTTCTACTAGAGGCGTGTTTTATCTCTATTTAATAAAAATACACCGGATCTTCGAGATGCAGCAGCGATTTCTAAGATTGCCCCCTTCCTCCTTCGGGGTATCTAAAATGAGCCTACTATAAGTTCGAAGGTGTATATTATTCTAAAACCCCTTCTGCAAGAACCTCCCTCGGAATCTCCTGAAAGTTTTCGTCTGAATCAGAAGAATTATCTTTAATATCTGATTCAGAGGGACTTAATAATCATGAGCAGGATCTTCAACCAATGAACTCTTAAAATAATTAAAAATAAACTGAAGGTATATTTAGGATTGCCCAACAGTGTTTTTAAAATCCTCAATGATATTTGTGAGAAGGAAAGTGTAGCTTACATAAATCTTTTACAATTCTGTGTGAATTAGTGGTATTTTTAATTCATTTTGAAAGACTAAATACCTAATAATTTTATAAACTGTTTGTTTTTTTAATAAATTATCACATTTCAGAGATTACAATAATTGTATATAGACAAAAATGTAAAATCTGTATATTAAAAAATAAAAGTACCTGCATAAGATAAACGAAGAAAAAACACTTTATTTACAAATAATAAAAAATATATACACAAGCTTTAACAGTAATGAAGGGCACAAATTAAAATTTCCTCTAACGATTCATTATCAAATTTAACTTTTTATCGACCTCATTATTTACTTCAAATGTAGGACAAACAATGCAAAATACTTTGTTGCATGTGTAATTATTCTGTTTACTGTGCAAATAGCTCCTTTTCTCAAGTTATTCATGGAAAATCGCATTATCTCTATATACTTGCTTGGCAGATCTAAAAATAATAAAATATTTATTAAAGTAATTATTTTTTTTAGTATTTTCAAGAGTACATTTTTATGGATTCCTATTTTTTTTTTAAATTTTTGACTTTTCTATGTTTCAAATTTTTTCATAAAATATAAACATATTTTTACTTTCCTATCTGTATACAGATATAAGGAAAGTATAGGAATCATGATTTTTTTCGACCTCGAGTTTTCGACGGATTTTTACGTTTTGAGGTCCCCTGAATCCGTTTTGACTATTTTCGCGATGATGTCTGTGTGTGTGTGTGTCTGTGTGTCTGTGTGTCTGTGTGTCTGTGTGTCTGTGTGTCTGTGTGTGTGTGTGTGTGTGTGTGTGTGTGTGTGTGTGTGTGTGTGTGTGTGTGTGTCTGTCTGTATAACGCATAACTCATGAACCGATACACAGAAAAACACCAAATTTTAAACTTAAGCTTTGTTCTAGTGTCCAATGAGCTGATTAGATTTTGGGCAGAGTCGGAACATCTGGGGGGGTACTTTATAGGTGGTCATTTTTATATTTTATGGAATATATCTGTTATTTACGTTTGGAGAAGAAAATTCTTCAAATAAAAGTTACTTCTAGTATAATTATCTATAATTTTTGTTTGATGCAAAATTTTCCTAAAATGGTCCGTATTCGAGAAATTTGACAAAATGTAAAAAAAATAATTTTTTATAAAAATTGTTCAAATAAAAGTTGTTTGTAATATAATTCTTTATAATTTTTATTCTATACATAATTTCTCTAAAATGGACCGTATTCGAGATATTTGAGAAAATGTGTAAATTTCGAATTTTGAAGAAAACTCAAAAACGGATAAAGGAAAAAACATTAAATTTTAAACTTAAGTTTTATTTCGACCTGAGGTGAACTGATTAGGGTTTGGACAGAGTCGGAACATTCGGGGGGGGGGGGTACTTTATTGGTGGTCATTTTTATATTTTATGGAATATATTCGTTATTTACGTTTGGGGAAGAAAATTCTTCAAATAAAAGTTACTTACAATATTATTATCTATAATTTTTGTTCTATGTCAAATTTTCCTGAAATGGTCCGTATTCGAGAAATTTGACAAAATGTGCAAAATTCTGTTTTTTAAGAAAATTGTTAAACTAAAAGTTGTTTGCGATATCGATCTTTATAATTTTTGTTTTTAAATGACTTTTCTAAAATGGACCGTAATGGAAAAATTGGAGGAAAAGTGTTAAATTTAAATTTTTCAGTATTTTCGTTTTCAATGAATATCTATAGAAATATGTTTGGAGGTGGATGTATGTGGAAAATGTATATATTTAGTTTTTCCTCTAAACATTTTTAGAGATGCTGCAATAGGTTAACTAGATAGGAAAGTCATGTGTTGGACACATCAGATTTTTGTTTTTATTATTTCAATTTAGCAATATTATCGTAGATTTATTTATGTAAATACTAGACATGTGTATCATAGTTGTAACGTAACAGAAAGACTGTATATTTACCAAAAGTAGTCATTCATACACAAAAATGTATTTAAATTACAATTATTTACAATGACATGTAGTAAGTAGGTAATCCTCGACCAAATAAAAGTAGTATTACGTAAATACCTGTGCTACTACCCTTCTAAATTGTTTTAAATGTTATTTAGTTTTAATTTTTGAGGTAAGCAAAACACTTCAATCAGCTTATATAAATCCAGCTGACAAACTCATATTAATAATAAAATTTAACCAATTAGTAATGACAAAAGAAATAAATCGAAAATTGAGAAAAAAAGGTATACAAAACAACATCGAATGTTAGGTTAGGTGGTCTAGGTGGTGTCAATTTTAAGTGTCACTAAGATGTGCGTACACTTCGACATTCTATGTGTCGGTTTGTTCGTTGGCTTGGTTCTGTATAACAAAAAAAAACTTCGACACAAGCTGATTGGTCTATTCCCGATGACGTACACATTTCAAATTTTAAATTTAAATTGGTATTAATTTAAATACTTTTGGCTTTTTTAACAAACTGATTATTTAGAATAACTTGTATAGCGACTAACTACTACAATATAGGTACCTAATTTATAAAATAAAACAGCCTATCACACATGTGAACATAGCCCATTACAAGGGTTGCCAGACGTCACGCTTTTGGCGTATTTTCCAAGCTTTTTGACTTGCTTGTACGCCCAACGTCACGGTTGGAAAAGTCCCGCTTTTGACAATAATGCCACTCTTTTTAGGCAAATGCCACTATTTTTATGCAAATGCCCACGCTTTTTAATATTCAAAGTCGTTAATAATAAGGGGGAATTTGATTTATAGAAAAATATAAGGTGAAGACCTTTTTTTTTAGGAATTTCACAATTAATGGACCTTATATAAAAATGCTTGGTATTTGAACCTGATGCTCTGTCGTCACGGTTGTCACGCTATATCAATTTTTTGTCCATTAACCATGATAACAATAATCATCCGTTTTTTTTGTAAATGTCCACACATCAATAATATTTTCAATTTTCATTTTTGTTAATAAATACAATCACAACTCAATAATACAATATGCTTTGCGATTCACCAACAACCAGTATATTATAAACACCAACTACAGTGATTAAAATTCAACAATATGCCAGCGTTGCAAACTCAAGGTCCGTACTTATACCTACCTTTATGTGTGTGTCAACAATGAGAATTTCATGAATAATTGTTTTGTCTTGTCGTTTTGTGGAAGGAAGGAGATGGATGCTAAAAGTTAGTCTAAACAGTTAAAATATCGCTTTTTATTATAATATAAATGAAAACAGCAAATAAAACATAATTTGCGTATGTAATTTTATATAGTTGTGCTAAAACTTCGAAATTATCACATCTAGATAGATAGAATAATGGTATGCATATTTAATATTTCTAAAGCAAGATATAGGTATTCTGCTTAAAAATTAAGGAAATAATGATAATTCTAAAATCCGTTTACTTTTACGAACGCTTGGCAACGCTGTAAGTGTTAAAGTTTAATCGTCCCCCACTAAGGGCCGGCCGGCTAAAGGGAAGGGAGAGAGGCAACAGGCGATCGGCAACCACTTCACTGTAGAATGAGTAGATTTAAAATTTTCTAACTAGTCACAAAATTTGTGTGAAAGTGATCGCACGCGAATCTGCGTTCGTGGAATAGCGCACTTTTTTCGTAAACGCATTGAAAAAACTACTGAAAAAGCGAGTCTTCCCAAAAGCAGAATCGGTGTGTCGAACAGTGTTTGAGGAATATAATTTTTAATTTATTGTGAGTGATATATAAAAGGAATATAATGTCTACCGCTATAATGCAACAGAATACCATGTACGAGTTCGGGGAAAATTTGATAAAGGTATGCTCGTTTACTATTACAATATCCACTTAGATAAAAATATAGGTATAACTAATTCGTTCTTTCAGAATATAAATAATTAAAGTTAGAATTTTTCAAATAATTATCCATTGTAGTTGTAATATCTCTAATTCTGTAATATTACTTACAAAAACACCCATCTGTTATGTCTACCAATACTGGAGTCAATTTTCTAGCATATTTCTGAAGTGAAATTTTCTATATAGTAATTATGTAGGTACGTACCTATCCCTACCCACTTGTTGCTTAAAACAAACTTCCACATGCAGCTATTGCGTTTTTTAAAAATATTTACAAATAACTAGATAAACTACCCGAATATTGTTTATTGTACCAATCCGAAACTTATGTTAAGACAGTTAAATATTAGTATTACCTAATAGATGCTTAAAAAAAATATACCTGATGAAGTAAATCCTACTAAAATTAGTTCATGTAAAAGGCTTAATGAGTTTAGATTCCTAGGTAGATAGATATTTGATTATTTTTATTATTTTTCCTAACTCCTGTTGTAGACGAATTTGTTTTACAAGTTTTACTACTACTTACTAATTTATATTATGAAGAAAATATCTACATTAAGTAATTAGGTACCTAGGTATAATGGGTAAATTTTATTCATCCAAATACCTACCGACTTTCACAAAGTTTGAAATGGAGTATGCAAACCAACAAACATTTTGTTTTTATTTTGAAAGGTTAAAAAAATCCTATCTTTTCAAAGTTAAATACTTGCTCATCAATGAATTATTAACAAAACAGCATACTTGTTTTTATTTACGTACACAGAGTACAATCTACTTCAGCATCTAGACTTGAAAATACATTTTTTTTATTATAGATAGGCACCTACCTACCTACTCTACTACCTGCTTAAACGTTCTTTCTTCATTTCAAAACAACCTTCAAGGATAACGTTGAAACCACTTTTTTCACTTGATAGGTAGTTCTTTTGGTAAATAACTTTTTAATAAATTAATATCAACCTAGCTACTTACGTATTTTAAATACCTAGTTAAAATAAAATTTAGAAGCGTAATAATTAGTATTATTCAAATTGACAGAAATATAAATAAGTTCTTGATGTTTCAAAAATTGAAAATAAAATTTAAAATATTTTCTTAAATATCTCGTACCAAAAAATAGATAGATACCATCAATGTAATTAAAGATAATTTTTTGTCCCTTAATAACATTTTTTTTTGCTTTAAATAATTGATGTGAGGATAAAACCGGGTCTAAACTACCTGCCATATTTTAAACCAAATAAACAGGTATGGCTACAGCAGGTTTTCCAGTGTGTGTTGTGTACTTTGTATTCAAGGATTCATCTCATGCTGAAAAACCGGCTTTAGCTCATTTCTGTAAGCAGGTAGGTACCTACCTACCAAAGCTAGTAGAGGCGGATGGTTAGTTTAGGGAAATAAAAAAAGTTAACTGAGAAATCTCGGTATGTTTGGTAGACGGATTTCATTATTTCATTTTCTCACTACAATATGTACCTATTACTTTAATATCCATATTACAGCTTTTACGAAACCGTATACAAATTTTTTAAGACTTAAGTAAACATATTTTTAATTGTGAAATAATTCAGAAATAAATAAAATACAAGTGGTGATACAAACCATACATTTTTAAATACCTACCTAATTATTAATTTAATTTAATAAATTTAAATTAGATGAAGAGTTAAATGATAAAAAAATTTGTAGTTTTCAATTTAGGTAGGTATTCCTTCGTTTATTTCCATTCTTCTACAACTTTTCGAAAACCAAAAACATTCTGGGCACAAAATGTATCAAATTCCAGGATTAAATAAACAAAGTTTCGTTATTTACAAGTAGAAACACTTGTTTTGATATATTTGATAAATTATTATTTTATTTAAAAGAGATTAAGTAATGTTTCGTCAATATCTGGTACAAATTTGATTGGTTCTGGCACAAAATTCAAATTTTGGGAGAGGAAATCAAGACTATACCTAAATAAAAAAATTTTGGAAACACTTAATTTTGTGACTGCATCAGGAGAACGCTAAATTATAGGGGGAAATATTACTGCCTTTTAAGTAAATAATTACAATATTTGATAGGTAAAACCGAGGAAGTTACCTATTTATTAGTTGAAAATATTACCTACTAGCAGGGTTGGAAAAAACTATGAATTTCAAAAAATATAAGTAGGTTTAAAGGTTTTTAAAGTTTTTTTTAAGGTTTTTAGTTGATATGCGGAAAAATATATTATTAATAAAGTAAAACAGAAAATAGAAGGTAATGTTAAAAAATAGAATTTTATTAAGTACTTATATTAAAAAAAAAACACATTCTGCAAACAAAAAAAAATAAAAATGACAAAAACATTTTTTTTTAAATGTCACTAATCACTACTACCTATCACTAGAATCAATAAGTTAATCAGTGGTAACTTTTGACAACATATTGGCATAACACCTAAAAAACCTGTAAGTACCTGCCAACCCTGCCTACTAGGTACTTACTGTTAGTAAATACATATTCGTTTTAGATAATTAGTAGGTACCTAGGTACTTTATAACGTGAATAAGTAGTTCTTATTAGGTATAAATAATTAGTATGGCTTTATTGGTAGGAAGCATGGTTACTTTTACTGGGTGCCTCAAAACCATTTTTTATTTTAAAAAACTGTTTTGAATAAGAATTTAAATTATATTTGATTTAAAAAATACAATTGTGAAGTACCTACGTACTATTCAGTGTATAAATATAGACTGTCAGGCATAATTAGAGAGAGCTAGATTTATCGAACAAACTTTGCTCAAAAATACATTTTTTTACGTTTGAAAGATACTCCCATCGAAAAAAATTCTTGAGCACGGCGTAATTTACATATTGGCATATTTAAAATCAATTTAGGTATATCAAAAACTGAAGCTTAGTGCTTTGTAAACAGATTTAGTCATTATCTAGTTTAAGCTCTTTTCGTTTATGAAAAAACTAAGCATAGGTACATACTTACGTGAAGGTATCGCTATTGTAAACAAAAAATCTCAGTTCTATATATCTTGTGCAAATTAAAAAAAAATCTGATGTGTCCAACACATGACTTTCCTATCTAGTTATTACAAACTTTTTCGGTTATTTTGTACAACCTATTTTGTAGCACCTCTGTAAATATTTAGAGGTTAACTTAATAAATAAATAAATATACATTTTCCACATATATCTAACTCGAAACATTTTTCTATATACTCATTGCCAACGAAAATGCTGAAAAATTTAAATTTTATCCTTTTCCTCCAATTTTTCTATTACAGTCCATTTTAGAAAAATCATGTAAAAAAACAAAAATTATAGGATCATCTTTTAGTTTAACAATTTTCTTAAAAATCATAATTTTTTACATTTTGAAAAATTTCTCGAATGCGGGCCATTTTAGGAAAATTTTGTATAGAACAAAAATTATATTAGAGGTAACTTTTATTTGAAGAATTTTCTTCTCCAAACGTAAATAACAGATATATTCCATAAAATATAAAAATGACCACTTATAAAGTACCCCCCCCCCAGATGTTCCGACTCTGCCCAAAATCTAATCAGTTCATTAGACGCTGGAATAAAGCTTAAGTTTAAAATTTGGTGTTTTTCTATGTATCGGTTCATGAGTTATGCGACACACACACAGACATAATCGCGAAAATAGTCAAAACGGATTCAGGGGACCTCAAAACGTAAAAATCCGTCGAATACTCGAGGTCGAAAAAAATCATGATTCCTATACTTTCCTTATATCTGTATACAGATAGGAAAGTAAAAAGGAATATTTTTACAAGATGTGGACCTTAGGATTTTTGTTTACAATAGCGATACCTACAAGTAGGTAGGTACGTACCTACGCTTAGTTTTTCTGTAATCGAAAATAACTCAAGCTAGAAATTTTCCACTGACGGTCACTTTTACAGAATTAAAACATCCGGCCTGGTAGTTTCTAAAAGTGAATTAGATATACCTACCTAGGTAAATACTTTTACTTATCTGCGATTTTTATACCCAGTCTATAAAGAATTATATTCACGCCAATATTGGTAGTTATTCGAACCATATTTATGACTAGATAAGTAAATGAATGTACGTATTCATAAAAACACATTTTTCAAAAGACTGTACGTAGGTAGGTATGTTGTTTATTCAAATGTTTTTATTACAAGTTTCTCTGTGGACTAATCGGTTCCGTTTGGCTAGCGCTAGCGTTTATCAACGGCTCTGTTGCCAGTTTTCGTTTTACGTTCCTACCTAGAGAAACCATTTGCTTTTCTCTTTTACCTGATATAATTATTTCGAGGATAACTAGTACATTTAAAAAATTTCCGTGAAATAAATATTTGATCAGAGCCGACTTCGCTTAAAAGGATTTATTCAATATTAATTATAATTAATTTAAATATTTTTTTTAATAGGTAGGTACTTCTGGAAGTTGAAAAATAAGAAAATACCTATTAAAGAATGTTTGTATACTTACCTACTTAAAATGCTCGTAATATAGGTATGTAATACATGCATTAAAAATACTTGTTATTATACATATAAATAGGAGTACTACTAATATTTTAGTATGATATTGGTGATTTTAATTTAATTACATTTATAAACTATTAACAGTTTATAAATGTTTTGAGTCCTTTATTTTGTTAATAACTAAGTACCTAATTAGTTTTGTATCGACAAACGAAAATAATGAGTCGATAAACGATTGTATATAATTCGAATAAAATGTTCTTATCAAAGACATGCGCACTACCTTTTTCTTTATCTAATTTTTAATTATCTAGCTTTTGAAGATAGACGAACGAATGACACTTTCAAATTAATAAAATGTAGGGTGATTGTGCCGGTTGTCGACCACTTAAGGTATTTTTTTTACTCAAAGGTTATTACTCACTTATCAATTTTAAATATTTTTCTTGTTCCATACCATTAAAACTAAGTGTAAAGGCTTTTAAT